GTATTGCATTGGGCAAATTTGCTGCAAAAGATCTCTTTCAGGCACTGAAGTGCAAAGATATCTCCTTGAAGACTAGGATAAGCCTTGCCGACACCATGGTATTTTCAATTGTCTTATATACATGTAAGAGCTGAACAATGAATAAAGAAGATCAAATAAGAGTTGATGTTTTTGAGTTGTGATGTTGGCAAAGAATGCTGAAAGTACCGTAGAATGCGAAAAGGACTAAGAGATCCATCCTGGAAGAAGTGCAGCCAGAATTCTCCTTGGAAGAAAGAATGGCCAGGCTTGTCTCACCTACTTTGGGTCATGTTATCAGAAGGGACCATTCTCTGGAGAAGGATGTCATGCTTGATAAAGTGGAGGGTCAATGAAAGAGAGAAAGGCCCTCAATGACATGGGATAGACACGGTGACTGCAGTGATGGCTCAAGTATAGTATGGATAGTGAGGCTGGCACAGGACCAGGCAGTGTTTCGTTTTGTTGTACATAAGGTCACTATGAGTCGGAGACGACTCAACAGCACATAACAACAATAACAACATCAGACTTAGCCAGACTGCTCCAAATGAGGCAGTAATGTTGCTTCACTGCTACTGTTTCATTTTTTAAAGCTAGGGATGCAAGATCACTTAATATATAATACATACACAAATATTTGCATATTATAGCTATGAGACTTTCTACAGATCTTCCCAGAAGATTTTTTCCTCTTATGAGCTTTTCTTTTTAGTTTGTTTGCTCCAATTGTCCTATTCTTTACATGCTTTGGGATTTAGAATTTTTCTAAGTGTTTTAAGTCTAAAATAAGAATAATTTAGAAATAATTAAGTACACAATAATAAATAGGCATTAACAAAATTAAGGATATAGATTTATTACTTAGAAAATATAAGATCAGTAAACATTTTAAGATTTAACTCAAAGGAACTCAAAAGTAGAACAGTCCAGACTCATATAAATAAATAAATGGAGTAGTCAAGAAAAATGTGACAGAAAGGATTATGGACACAGAAAAAATTGTCTTCATTACTGGAAGACCTTACAGAAAATTTAAGGAATTACATGATAACAAAGAAATGTTTAGTAAATGCCTAAAACTCTGTTTAAGGTAGCTGATGAGTTTTACAGTTCCCATTCTAATTTTTTATCTATTTTTCTGCTAGAAATGTTCATCCTTTTACAGAAAAAGAGTTCCCTTCAAATCTGATTAAGAAATCAGATTCTAGTGACTATTTCATTAGAAAAAGCAACATTTTCAATGAATTGTTTCAGTATTATAAAAGACAACCACCCCATAGTTCCATCCTCATCATTTTCTGAAAAGCAAGCACTGAGGTTGGCTTTCTTTCCATTTCTGACTTACTTAAGTTCCTTTCCTCACCTTGAATAGGAAAGACAAGGTACCTGTGGATACCGCCTCAGAAACCCAAGGAGGGGTTGCTATGAGTCAGGTCTGACTCCATAGTACATAACAACAACAACAAACTACAAATGACCCAGCTGATAAACATGTTGAACTAGCTTTCTTAAGCTGGGAGGTCTTGTGGTTTGAACAGCTTACACAAAGCTCACCAAAAAAAAAAAAAAAAGATAATAATTAATTTAAACTTGATGAATAAATTAACTCCTCGGCATATTTCCACTTAATCATATAGCATCTTGGCTATCCAGAACTCCTGAGGAATGAATTGCCTTGAATATCTGAGTTCTGTATGAGTTGGATAGACCTGACAGCAATGGTGTTTTTTTTTTTTTTTTGTAGGCAGTTAAAAAATTTCCTACCTTCTATATATAGTTTAAAATACAATATAACATTCTCTAAACAAATTCAGGTTAACTATTGTTATTCCATGATATAAATAGAATGCTATCTTAAAGATCTACCACAGTGTTTAAGACTAACTGACCCTACAGTAAACAGTTCTCAATTGCTGACTTTTATGAACTTACATTAACTTTCTGAGTTTTGCTTTATCTTCTTTTCATGTTATTCATCATGTTTTCACTGAGGTTAGTGTAAATAATAGCATTTCTCGTTTCTATTTTTCTACTTCTAATCTGCTGTATATTTGGAAAATAGGTAAGCAAGTTATTTAATTGTATATAAAGAAAAAATATCCAGAGTTATAGTAGATTGCCCTTGTAACAACCATACCAGCTTATTCCCAGCTTCTTGGAATAATCTATATTAAAGCACACGGCGTTCTGCAAAGGATTAAATAAATGTTGTGATTACTTTTCCTAACATTATGGACAGTTAATACTAGATAGGCAAAAGGTCATGTGACGAGAGGACTACGAACAGTGTTTCACCCAAAGAGTATCATAACTTTTTATTTATAGGAGCACTCTGTTAAATGGACCCTTGAGTTATTAGTTTACAGATTATAAATAGCATTAATGTTGTGAGTTCTATTCTTTAAATGATAAGCCAGTGCTTATTTTTTTTTTTTTCACCAAATCTTATTTTTCACCTCTTTTAATTTCAACCAAAAAGGAAAAACATAATAATAATGGACATTATTGACCACTAACTATTTTCTTTTAAAATTTTATTGTGATTTGGGTGCAAATTTACAAAGCAAATTCATTTCACTCAACAGTTTATGCACATTTGGTTTCATGGCCTGCTTACAATCCTCAACCATGAAAAGCTCTCCTCCCCTCTACTTCCTGTGACTATACCTTCCCTGTGCCCTTATCTATGCATTCCTGTCTATCCAGCTTTACCTCTACATGAACGCTGCCCCCTGATGTCTCATGGTTGATTGACCCAAGGGGCGCATCTCCCTGGCAGAGGTGTTCTGCTTGTAGGTCTTTCTACTGTTAGGCTAAGAGCTAATCCACAGATGGGAGTCCATTTCCAGGCCCAAAGGATAACCTGGGGCCATAATTCTCGAGGATTCCACCAGTCTCTATCCTACCAGTAATTCTGGTCATTTTTGTGTTTTTGAATTTTGTTTTACATTTTTCCTCCCACTCTATCCAGGATCTCCAATTTTAATCCCTTTCCAAGTGGTTGGCATTGGTAGCCAGGCACCATCTAGTTCTGGTCTCAGGTTCATGAAGGCTGAGGTCTTCGTGGTCCATCATATCTTTGGACTAATTGCTTCCAAATGACTTTGATTTTCTTCACTCTTCTTTGCTCCAGACAACAGAAGACAAATAGCTGCATCTGAGATGGCCCCTCAAAAAATTTTAAGATTCCAGTTGCTACTCACCAAAGTAGGATATAGAACAAGATTTTTATGTACTATATTGAGCTGAGAATGATATCCCCTGACTATGGTCCTGAGCCCATAAGCCCAGTGATTCTCCCCCTCAAGGTGTTTGGTTATCTCTGAGAAACTACACCAACTTTGTCCTGTTACTTCTGTAATTTGTGTGGATAATTTTATACCACAAGTACAAATGTAAGACTACCTTCAGCCAAATCAATCCTTGGTCTTGGGTATATTCTTGTTTGCTTGCCCCCACCTGATCTTCTCACCTCTCTATCATTTACTTGTAGCCTAGTGTTTGCTGCCACTGGTAATGCAAGTACTGTACATGTATTTGCCTCTGTTGTCTGTATCTTTTGTGCACGTTTCTGTGTCCTCCCTTTCTCCACTGACACTGTGCTGGTCATACTCTCGTCATACTACTCCTTCCCTCACCTAAATCAACATGTGACACCCAACTAGTCAGAAATTTTTCCTTCCCTTCCCTTCCCTCCCTTCCCCAGTAACCATCAAAGCGAATTTCCTTCCCTGCATGATGTAAACTTTTGAGTTTTTACAATAATAGACTCCTACAATATTTGTCCTATGATTGACTTCTTTCACTAAGCATAATGTCCTCCAAATTCATCCATGTTGTGAGATAATTTGTGAATTCTTCATTATTCTTTAATGTTGCATAGTATTCCATTGTGTGAATGTATCATAGTTTGGTTATCCATTTATCTATTGATGGGCACCTAGGAGGTTTCCATCTCTTTGCTACAGTGAATTGTGCTGCAATGAACATGGGTGTGCATATGTCTATTCATGTCTTGCATCTCATCTCTTTAGGATAAATTCCTAGTAATGGGATTGCTGAGCACTATTTTTTAATAGATGTACATGTTTTACAGAGTTCTGGGGGGACAGTGGTTAAAGTATTTGGCTGCTAATGAAAAGGTCAGCGGTTCGAAGCCGTTAGCCACTCCATGGGAGAAAGGTGAAGCAGTCAGCTTCTGTAAAGATCTACAGCCTTAGAAACCTTAGTGGACCTGTCTTATAGGGTTGCTATGAGTCAGAATTAACTCAATGGCAGTGGGTTTTTTATATTGGTTTGTGTTATAACTCATTTAATATTCCCAGTAACTCTTGAAGGTAAGTACTATTATTATTCCCATTTTACAGAAGAAATTGAGATATAGAATATTTAGGGAGCACCTAAGGTCACGCAGCTTATAAATGCCAAAACTGGGTCATGAAACCTACCTGGCTCCACTAAGCATGCTACCTCATCCAAAAAAATGAACGAATAATCAGTCTTAAGTAAAGGGAAAATAAAACAAATATCTGCAAACTCAAAGCTATTTATATATAATGTTAATCTTATGTCATTGTGTCATTATTCCTGGGAAAAACAAACCATTCACTAAGTTAATTAAATTTTACATACTCAAATGAAATGTTACTCAAGTGAAACTTTACATTTATCTATAAACGTAAGCCCGCCCCCCAACTCTTAGTGCAAAGAGTAAAGGTAAAATTCTCTTAAAGAAAAAGTGTTCCCTTTTCATTCTGATCATGTGTTAGGTTTTTAATTTTAAAGAACAGCTTTTGGACAGCTTACAGAAATTTTCCAACTGGGATTAAATGCTTGCCAAATCATGCTGTTATTATGAACTCTTAAAAGTTCCTAGTTTCCTCAAATGTAAAAAAAACTAAAAGATCTTCAAAGTCCCTTCGAGTTCTAGAGTTTTATGAAATCTCAAAACAGAAGGTAAAGGGTGGATCAAAACATACCTTGAATATTCTTGAGGATATGGGGAGGAGTACCAGGTATGAATTTCATATTTCCCAAACTCAATGACAGAGGGACAGCGGACTTGTGGATCAGGGGGGCCAGTCACTCCAACTTTCTGTGCAGTCAAGAAATAAATTACAAAAGTTAACTAAATTAAATATACTGAGACACACTTAAAAAAACAAAAAAAGATCTGAATCTAAGTGTTTTCTCAAGATTCTGTAAGAGATTAACCACAACAAAAAAAAGTAACAAGCTGGCAAGTTTTGAAATAAACTGCATTATTCTTTAAGTAGAACACTCAGATGAAGACCAAAAATGCTAATAATCTCCTAGCACCAAATGCAATGGGTATCACACTGCATTTTCTATATTTCATAGATAACAACGCAAATAATCTCAACTAAATTCATTTTCTTAGTGACTTAGCTATTAACAAGAGAATTACAGGCATCTGGGGATAAAAGATAAAGAATAGTTTTAAAGCAGATGCGGGAGTGCTGCTGCATAGTTGCCCAGATTATACCTAACAAACCAAACCAAATTCACTGCCACTGAGTCGATTCTGACTTATAGTGACCTCCTTTGGGTCTCCAAGGCAATAAATATTTATGAAAGCAGATTGCCTAGTGTTCCTTCCACAGAGTGGCTGGTGGATCTTAACCACCAACCTTCTGGTTAGCAGTCAGATGCCTTAAGCACTGTGCAACCAGAGCTCCTTAGCTTATACATATACCATCCAAAATTGACTACAGTGGAAATAACCTACTGAACATATAAGCATATACAGAAAAGAAAGATTATCTGGCTTTGGAGAGTAGATATATAAGAACAACATATAAGTGAAGAGTTGTCAATTCATTTCACACTGCCCTTAAAATTCTTCTCATTAGGAGTTCTGCACAGTTTTGATATACCGAAAAACCCAACTTTGTTATATACACATTTTTATCCTTTTTTCTACTTTTATTTATAGTTAAAAGAATCTAGATGACCTGTCCCCATTCCTGAATAATTTGAGTAACTGTATTTTATCCAAGAAAAAGGATAACTTACGAAGTTTTTATGACTAGCTTGACTTCCACACTAGTATGTAAATGTATACAGAAACATAACGTGTGTGTGTATGTGTATGTATTTATCACAGCTGCTCTATAAATAATAACTGACTTTGGAAAAGACAGAGCTTGAATTTAGCCTAACCAAACACAAATATTACTATATCTTCATTAAAAGAACACTCGAAATTATCTTTCAACTTTTTCCTTAAAAGATCACTGAGATACTACAGAAAGTCCTCTTTTGGAGCCAACACAAAAACACACACCTTACAAAAAACTAAGATCAGAGATTTTTCCCATCAAGTCTGGAACTGAACTCACCCCTGTGGCTCAACTTTCAACTAAATGATAGGCCTATAAGATAAACAATACACTCCTTAGAACAATCAACCATAGGAGATTACAAAGGCAGCATTTAGTCCAGGAATAAAGCTCAGAAGGCAGGAAGGGAAAGAAGACTGAAGGGAAATGGTAAACATAGGGATGACATGGGAAGAGTGTTGCTAACATTGTGGGGATTGCAATCAATGATACAAAACAAAACGTATATGTATGGTTGAAAGGAGACTCAATTTACTCTAAATTTTCACCCAAATTATAATTTTAAAAAGTAAAAACAAGTACTTAAATAGGTCAGAGATTTTTATTCACTGCTTTTATATAAATTCATTTATAATGAAGAAACTTCTTCATCACAGCTCATTTGTAAACTCTCCCTGGTCTAAGTGTTCCCTTTCATAAAAAGCCAAGGGATTTATCTCAGGTTTCATACTGGAACACAGCCAGGTGAAACCTCAATCTCTTCCTTAGACAACTCAAAACAAAAGACAAACATCTCCTATTAGTTGGATAAACTGTGTTATAATACCAAGGGACACTGGGGCTCCTCCAACTGCAAACACCATAAAGGAATACATAAGTCAGGGTTAAAAGAAACTAAGATTTTTTCATGTCTCAAAATCAAAACAGAACTTTGCAAAAAGGGTTTAAAAAGATCATTCTTTAAAATACATTCCAGATTCAAGTATTCTAATTCACAAAGAAATAACTTTTCATCTGTCTTCACAGCTCAAAATAAGAAAAACAGCAGTATAGGAAATTATCAGAACAATCAAATATCAGAAACCAAACCTCATTTCCTGAGGCAAGGTTCAGATAGGAAAGACAAGAGTTGAAAATATGCACCTGCTCTGGCACCGCCTGGTGTTTGAAGGCTTTCCCATCAGTTGCTCGCAGTTCTTCCAGGCGGATGCCTGAAGTGAAGGTGGATATCCAGTTCCAGTATAATTGTTTGCACATCACCGCAACCAAGAGAGTCTGTATAAGCAGACTTGCAGAAGACTTCCCCACAGCCTACACCTACTCTCACTCGTTATCAACTGTGAAATACTCTGGCACATGCGCTCATCTACCACTGTTCACCACCTCCAACTCCCCTCTGCAAGCCTCAAGGGCAAGTGCATTTCCTTTTACTAAGGTTTAGCAGTTAAGAGGCTCTAAGGCAGTGAGGAAGCAACAGCTCCATCTAAACAGCTTAACCCTGTCCTTGCCAAAAACAAACTGCCACATCTGAATTACAAAGTCACCTTTGCTAGGTCATTTTATTTTTTAATTTCAGCCAAAATATTCTTTTGATTTAACATGCAACTTTCCAAAGCTGCAAGTACCTAATATAATCAACAATACAAAATATACATATATATTTTAACTTTTAAGTCAAGATCTGCCACTTCATGCCCTATTTTAATTTGCCAAATTCTCTAAAGGACTACATATGCCAGGCCAGAATTGAACTTTTAATGTAAGATAGCTGAGAGAGAGGAGCAGTAAAAGTACTACTAATTGGGTTAAACCAAACAAACAGAAAAACCACACCTATTTCTATGCAATGGCCGTCCCTTTATTACTAGCAATTTATCAGAAAAGAAGAAACTCAGCCTCATTAAATGTCTTATCGAATTCCAATTTCCAATATATAGAGACCACTCCTCAGTACCCCCACTTCCAGATCTGGTACAAATAGTAAAATTACCCTTGACATAGATACAGGCCTGCTCCCTTCCCCTTTCCATTTCCCTGGCAGGGAGTAGGGGAGGATTGCTGCATTTCCATCAGACTGAGAATGTGAGCCTCGAGAAGAGATGACTTTATGGTATTTGAATATTTTCCCACAGAAACATCATAATAAAAAGTACTGCAGTTCATTAGGGATTCAAAGTTACCTGATGAAACAGATATGTAATGAATACACATGTTCCAAAGTAGAAAAAGTATGAACTTAAGGAATAAAGAGAATCAGTGTATGTGGAACACCCATTCCTATGGCTTTTGTTACCTCATTTAATCCTCAAAACCATTTTTCCAAAGTACAGCATTATGCTCATTTTACAGACGAAAATACAGAAGAAAAACTCCAAGATAGAAACAGCAAGGGTGAAACATAAAGACAGAGAAGAACAAAGTAGACAGAAGTGGCATAAGAAGTACAAGGAGCCCTCAACTGAATGAGGATTTTTTTATGGGTTTTGTTTACTTCTCTACCTCCAGTGCCTGGTACATGGTAACCAGAACTCAATAATATTTATTGTTGCATGAATAGATAATCATATTTAGAATAACAACCTCAGCTATTACCTAGATGGTTTCAATTATCATTTATGTGGCAAATCTCCTATCAAGAATCTTCCTGCGCTCCAAATCTATACATTAAGCAGTTCACAAAAGTTCTCTATTTTAAAACAACCTAAACGCCCGTTAACGGAGGAATGGATCAATAAGCTGTGATACATACACACAATGGAACACTATGCAATGTTAAAGACCAGTGATGATTCTGTGAAACGTCTTATAACATGGATGAACCTAGAGAACATTATATTAAGTGAAATCAGTCAATCACAAAAGGACAAATATTGTATGAGACCACTATCGTAAAAAGTCAAGAAAAGGTTTTCACACAAAAAGAAAGAATTCTTTGATGGCTACCAGGTGTGGGAGGGGAAGGGAAGGGAGGATAAACCACTAACTAAAAGGCAGATACAAATTAACTTAGGTAAAAGGGAAGGCAGAAAAGAAATTAAGGGGAAGAGGCAACAAGCTTACTGACAAGCTTTCTGTTTATCACCCCATCAAAAAAAAAAAAAAAAGTTCTCCATTTTAGATGTCACACAAGCCTACAAACTTCTGTAAGTATGGTCTCTTCATTCAAACAAGCCCCTTTTCCCAGATGCCTAATAAGTATCACCATCTACTCAAGTTAGAAGAATGCTGGAAGACCTACTTGTTTCCTCCTTCTTCTTCTTCAACCCCAATTCCCACCCAGTACTCTACCTTTTCCATTCTATCCTAAATCTTGCTCAATATCTGTCTATAGACTACCACCCCTCTGCCTTTTTATTAGGCCTTCATCACTTCTTATTCCAACTACTATAATTCACAGACTGGTAGATGTCTTTGTTCAGATCTTCTCCAATCTACTGCTCACCAGAGATAAATTTCTAACATATAAATGATCATGTCACCTTCTTCCAAAAAAATTCTTTAGTAGCTCCTCAAGAGCTATTCAACTACTTCAAACAGCTACTTTAACTACAAGATAAAATACAAACTCTTAAACATAAAACACAGGATTTTCATGACCTGATTCATGCTTATTTTTCCAAACTCATCTCTTGCTTGGACTCCAGCCAAACAAATACCTACAGCTCCAAGAATTCAACAAATATTCTTATGTCCAAGTTATTCTCTCCATTTGAAAGGCCCTTCTCCTCTTATCTAATAGTAAACTCTTACTCATTCCTTCAACACACTTCTCAGATGTTACCTGCTGTGTGAAGATCTCCTAAAAACTCTATCTAGATGTCTTCCTTTTTGTCCCCATACCATCACATGCATATTCTACAGCAGCCAAAACCCACTGCCATCAAGTCGATTCCAACTCATGGTGACCTCCACTGGGTTTCTAAGGTGGTGAATCTTTACAGAAGCAAATTGCCTCATCATCCTTCTGCAGAGTGGCTGGTGGGTTTGATCTGCCACCCTTCTGGTTAGCAGT